TGCAAAGGAGTTCCTGCTACAAAAAAGGCCTGGGTTTTGACCACAAACAAGGTCAACAGAATAAGAAGCAAAAGGTGGGCATGGCTGGATGACCACACTTCTGGTAACATGGGGTGTGTGGCCTAATATGCTAATGAGCTGTGCTATCAGGGCTGTGGCCTAATATGCTAATGAGTTTCTGCTGTTGGGTGTGGCCTATTATGCTAATTAGTTCCTGCTGGGCTTTTTCTACAAAAAGAGCCCTGGTTTTCTGAGAAGAACATAAAGCTCAGTAACAACTAGTTCTGATGGTAGCATATCAGAATCCCAGAAACTGATGTTGTTAAGAGCATTATCTATCTATCATCTATCTATCTATCTGAAGGGCCGCGGTGGCTCAGAGGTTAAGATGATGAATTGTAGACTGGAAGGTCAGTAGCTCGGCAGTTCGAGACACTAGTAATGTGTGACGGAGTGAGCTCACGTCTCTGGCCCCAGCTCCTGCCAACCTAGCACTTCGATAGCAAGAAATTGCAAGTAGATAAATAGGTACCACTTCAGTGGGAAGGTAACAGCGTTCTGTGTGCCTTAGTGTTTAAGTCATGCTGGCCACATGACAACGGAAACGTCTTCGGACAGCGCCGGCTTTTCGGCTTAGAAACGGAGATGAGTACTGCCCTCTAGAGTTGGATTCGACTGGCTTTCAAGCAAGGGAAACCTTTACCTTTTCTATATACCTTTTAGCTAGACAAATTATATATATATAATATATATATAATAACAGTTACAATAACAGTAACAATAACAGTTAGATTTGTGTAGCTTAAATTCTTGCTTTGTGTGTTTTCAATCTACTGAATAGCTCACTAGGACACAGATGCAAGAGCATCCAAGTAACCCTTTGTATTCTGACATCAAGAGCACAAGCTTCATTAGATCAAAGGGTTTATTAGTCATATTCTCAAAGAGCAACTACTGCTACAGATATGAACATTCCCACCAAACCGTTTTCAGCTGAAGCACCAAATAAAATAGGTTCAGTGGGGAAGCACATCAAGGATTTCATATTTCCAGCTGGGAAAGATGGGCATATTTGTAGGAATAAGTTCAGCATGCCATACACCTGCCAGTTGTAGTTTTCCAAATAGTTGTTCAAATAGGGGCTTGCCCCAAATCTCATCTCTGCAGTGAGGGCAGCGCTGCTTGAAGCACACATACATTTATTCATGGGTGTTTTTAGACTAGCAGATGTCTGTGATTCTCTGCCAACTGGGAGTATACAACAGGAAAGGTACCAGCTGCTGTTTCAGGGCTCTTGGCAGAACCAGGGCAGATGATCCTCTACATGTCCAGATGCACATCTTCATGGAAGTCATTGCTGGTAAACTGGGGTTGTGGCACTGAATGTGGGTGGGGGTATGAGGGTGGGCAAGAATTCTACTCTGGCAAGAATCAGAGTTACTGATTTCAGAGTAAAGACCTGAAATCTATTTCATTCAAATTTCCTATACTCGCTGCCATTACCAGGCAAGCATGCAGTTTTTAGGAGGGGGGGGGGCTTGGCCTTCACTGATAGCCTGGTTCTCAAGATACCCACTTCCCAGAGCTGCCCATTAAAGTTACATCTCCTTGGGTTTGTTTAGGGGGCTTGCTTGGTACACATCCATGGCACTGTTCTGGAGAGCTATCCTGCAAACCCAAGGAGGGTACAGCCTCCTTTAGCTTGATAAAAGGGCAGAGGGTACAGGCTGAAGCAGTGCAGTAATTCAGAGCACTGTTTTCAGAGAGAAGGGCTGCTTAGCATGGTCAGGTTTCAGCTGTTGCTGTCTTACTGAATGGAAATCTTGTGCTCTAAGTGCCAGGTCCCTTCCATTATGCTTTCCATGCAGTAAGTGCATGATTTACTCCCCTGAACCTCAACCCACAAGAGAGCTCACACTGTGAGATCAGCTCCTTTAAGGAGGGATAATGAGTTCCATAGCAGCACAAGATAAATGACTGCATATACCATTAGAAAATCACTTAAAACCGACAAAAAGCTGTGACCAGTGTTAAGGAATTCTGTGACACATACCACAAACCTCTCCCTCTTCCTGTCTTCCTGTCCATACTTTAAAATTGCTCCTAACCCCCGAAGTCTATTAAGTATGGCTTTGGAAGTAAAATGTAGCTGAACCTCCTTAGCTGCTATTTTGCCTACTTTGGGTATCCATGAGGTGAGAAGTTTATCATGGCTTCATGACATTCAGCACATATTTTATCCATGTAAACAAGGTCTAATGTTTGACATGTTTTAATTTGCCAGGAATACTCCTGATTTTTTGGTACCTGCCCCTCCCTAATAAGTTATAACAAGGGTTCCTATTTTCACTTAAATCACATCAAGCCCAGACAGTTTTCTTGGAAACTGAGCATCTCTTATGGGGCTATTACCTTTCCCCAGCTTGGGACACAATTCATTTATCAGATAACATGTATGTGGTAATTGTGATTGGTGCATATTTACATGTTGGTTGTTTTCTGTAACACCATTAGCGACCAGCAGCATACAGACCTCCTTCTGTTCCAATGTATATACTTCATATTAAAAAATAATGTTTTCAGGAGTTGTGACCTCCTCCCACCTGACTATACCACTCTGGCCATGATTCATGCTATTTTTAAGGGTTATCCTCTCCTGCCCTGCCCATATTGTTGCTAATGTTTCCTCCTGGATGTGCACTCACCTGCTCTGCAAAACCAGAGCTGAAGTACTCATGCCCATTTTTTACAAAGTTGTGAAGTGCAATAAGGCTATCCTCAGTCTCTCTACAGAAAAGTTATCCAACAACTCAATTCCATGGGATCAAGATAATATACTACACACTGGCAATTGAATCAAGGCTCGGAGGAGTATCATGCTAAGTACAAAATATATTTTGGGCACCCTTGTCTTGTTGGGCTTCTACTTGCATGGGAAAATTGTTAGAACCTGCTGGCTGCTTAAAACATTGGAAGATCAGCAGTCTTGGTAAAACCAATCAAAGATGTGCATGGAGTAGAAACTAACGGCTCTGAGCCATCCTGGGCATTGTCTACAAACCTGACCATCACCGTTGAAGGAAAAATTCTCCATGTAATGTTATAATACATAAGAAGCCATAAGGTTACACCTTTTTTTCTTTTTTGAGAAACTGCATTTTAAAAGCCTGTATTGAATATTTGACTGTGTAGGGAAAATGGAAGTGAAATGATTCTTAAATTCATAGGTTCTCCCTTCCCTATTCAAGCACAGACTTAATTGTATTGGAAATTCAGGACAGCTGCTTGGAATCAGCTATCATAAAGCCAGGAAATCACATGCTCTGTCTCTGTGTGGCTCCACTAATGCTGGCAGGAATGGCTGAGTGATGCTATTGGGGGGGAGGAATTCACAAAGCAGTGCTGGAAGGAGGCACTTTGGTATCCTCTGGGAACCAGAGTGATGGTGTTTCTAAAAGATTCTGAAATTAATCTAAGGCCTCTGTAACAACTTATCTGCATAAATGTCCTAAAGCTTCATCATAAGGGTCAAATCACCAGCAAAGTCCAATAGTCTTTGAAACAGTTTCTGAGATCATCCCAGTAACAATACGCATGTGAGCTCTGTGCAGATCTTCTTCCATCTTTTGACTGAGGCCAAGTATTTTTCATTTCTTTCCTGCTTGTCATGTTCACTGCACTGCTAACTTGCCTTGTCTGATCCTGGTGCAGTAAAATCTTCGAACTGAAAAATGATATCTGATCGTCCTTTTAAACTCATAGCAGCAGAGAGCATTTCATGACTGATTCTGCTTCACTCTGACCAAGGGCATGTCTGCAGCAAAGCTGGTTTCTGTGAGGGTCAGTAAACATATGGGTGGAGAACTCTGTTCTGAACACCATCACACCTATTCATCAGAAGAATCCCTGATTTTCAGCAATGCCCATCCATTATTTTAAAAGTTATTCTTGTGTAATGAATTATGCTGGACAAGCTTCTGATTCCTCCTGGTCTCCTTGAATTGACCTCAGTTCATTTGAATTGGTCCACAGTTGCATTGCATAATTGCTAGGGAATTATGTCGGTGACCATCAGGCTAATATTGAAAGGGTGTTCAGCCACTCAAATCCAAAAGAAAGAGCAAGACTAGGATAAATACCATCAGCAGCCAAAAACAGTGGCTGCATCAGCCTGACACTGAAAACACAAGTCACTCATGTGCAGACCAGATTCCCTTATGATAGAACAATCTTGTCCCATAGTGCGTCCACATGCCCCTCACATTTGTCCATAATTGCCCCTCATTTAGATAGCTCTTGTCCCTGCTATGAGAGTTTAGTACTTGGGAGTTGTGCTTACATCTTGAGAAAATTCTCAGCCTGTCAGACTCTTGCACAATTAATATTTACTCTCACACTGCTATCTGTCTGAGGCATTCTCTCTTTCCATACACATTTTAGTTAATTTTTTTCCAGTACCTAGTAAAAGCAGAAATGGCTTTTACACATAATTAATGGTTGTTGTCATTTTGGACCCAAGAGAGATTTGTACTAGGAAAAATATGAAATTGTTTTCTCAGAAAAGTTTGCAACCACTACCAATCCCATAGAGGGTAGTGGAGTAGCTCACCAGTGAGAGCTACAGGCTCAAGTATGTGTTTTCTGGTAAATGCTCATGAGATATATGTGTTTAAAGTAATATTCAGTATAAGTACGCAGCTGGGCTTAATCAAATCAACTGCTCTGGGATCTGATCTGCTGATTTCCGCTCCTGCTCTTCTAACAGGGAAGGTCTTTCTGGAATATGTGAAATGTATTCACAACAGAGGGACCAACATCACCCAGTAGTACCTTTGCCTGGGGATGGATGAATCCCACATGTACACACACACACACACAGGCACAGGATGAGGGCATTGTAGGAGTGGATTCCTTTTTAGGGCAGTGTTGATTACTTGCAGATCTATAGAAGAAGGCAGGATCCTGCCCTGCTAATATGATTGTCTTCATTTGGTGGCTGACTTTGAGCTGCCTTCAGCGATTGAAGAAGAATGATTTAATACTCTGGAGTAAGGGGTACTTCTGTCTCTGCCTCAGCTTTTTGCGGATGATGGGGATCCAGACAAGCCCACACACAACCAGCATGAGACCAAGTGACAGGAAAGCTGGCCCGCACAGTTTAAAAGCTTCCTTGGTCATGACCGTGATATTTGCTGTAGTGAGGCAGGTCAGGCTGGTGATAGCCACACCAAAGAGAAAAACAGCTCCTCCTACGGACAGTACAATAACAGGCTTGTGGTAAACATCCCACTTGTTCCGGGGGGTGGCGTTCCAGACGGACTCACTGCGTGAGCTGATGCATAGGGTGCTGGCTGTTTGGCTAGGCAGCAAGTCCTTGCGCTCTGGAGACTTCTCTCCTTCCTCCATGCCTTTTGGCTGGATTTCCATGACAACCAGGTTTAGAGGCTCAGGGGGTTAACACCTGCAGGAGAGGGAAAAGGGGACCAAGGCAAATGATATTCAGACTGCCATAGATGTGATTCCTCCATCTTCCCCTCACATAGGAGCAGCTCATGCTAGTAAGCTGCCACCCCCACCCCATACAAGGCTGACTGCAGAAGAAAATGTCTCTTGTGCAGTCTGACTTAGATGGATCTGAGGCAGCAGAGATAGGAGAAGAGATGTGGCCCTGCCATCACCTCCTCCTACATCACCAGCCCCTGCCAGTTTGGCACCCTGAATCACCACTGGGTCACCAGGGTGGTGAATTGGCTCTGCTCCCATGTGCTCTGACCATGAGTCATCTCTATCCAGTTGCTCTGCTTGGCTCATGTGCTCCAATGTTCATTGTTTCTGTCATGCACCAGGTCTAAACAAGCATGCTTAGGCCACTGTCTTTGTTGTAGTAGATATTAGACAGAAACCTTTCCCTGGAACCAAGTTTTCAGTGAGGATGTCTGAAAAACTGACACAAATAATGGTTTATAAAGAATAAGTTCAAAGGCTATTTGGGAAATTAAAAACTAACAATTCACCAGGTCCACACTGTATACATCCATGGGTATATTACCCTGATTGGAAAATAACCAATATTACAATGCTATTTAAAAAGGATTTTTGGGGGTGTGCGTGTGCTCAAAGTAACTATACACTCGCAGGGAGGGCGGGGTAAAAATGTTAACAATAAATGCCCAATAAAAATTAACTCAATGGCTGTCCCGAGAAATCAGTAGGAAAGAATATTCTAGATGGAATATAGAAGAATGGAATTTGCTGAAGAAGAGTCAGAATGGCTTCAGTAAAGGGAAGTTTTGTCTCATCAACTGCTTACAACTCTTCAAATGTGTCAGTTCACATATAGAGGTTATCTGAAAGATGCTATATACTTGGACTTGCAAAAAAAATGATTTATTTCTGAGTAAATCAAAACACCCATGGGATAAGAGATGTGTCCTTTCACCGACTGGTCACTGGTTAAGAAAGAAGCAAATAAATGAACAGTTTTTGCAGTCGTGGGAGGTGAGCAGTGGTGTCTCCCAGAGATCTGTGCTGGAACTTGTGCTATCTATATATTCATAAATAACCTGGAAATAGAGGTGAACAGTAAGGTACTGAAGTCTGTAAATGACACAAAATTATTTAGGATGATGAACAAACAGATGGGGATTGCAATGAGCTCCAAAGGGACCTCTCTGGACCACTGATGCTTTGAATTTCTCAGTGTATCTGTTTGGCACTCATAGGCCCTGTCCACACGAGAGGATTAGGGCCGGGAGAGGGACGGAACGGGGGCGGAGCAAACGGGCGCGATCCCACCGCAACATCTGGGAAGCGTACCGTGTCCGTCCCCGATCCGGCCTTTCCAGCGATGATCCGTACCAAAAAAGAACCACCTACTGAGGTGGTTCTTTTCGAACAGCCGCAGCAATGCTGGCCGTGGGATCGCCGGCACGTTATTTCGCTGGCGCATCCCCGGCTCCTTGCCGAACTGCGCATGCTCCGACATGCGCAGTTCTGCAGACTCCTGTGCCTTTCTCCCCGTCTCCCCGGCATCTGATCGTGCCGGGGAGCAAATGCACAGTGGCTCAGGGGATCTGTATGATCCCGCCGCCGCGTGCCTATTTAGGTGCGGCTTTTTAAAAGCCGCACTTTGGCCGTCCCTTCTTCCCTCGTGTGGCAGGGGCCATATTTACCTTTCTTTGATGCTCATTATCAGGCATATGTTTGGAATGCATGAAGCAACTCAAACATTTGCTGAAAAAGTTTGCAGCTGCCTGTTTGTCAGAAGCCAAGTCAGGGGTGGCCTTAGCCAAAAGGCAACTGGGCCAGCTGACATGGGTCCTGCACTGGATGGGGCTGCTCTGGAGGGCCCTGTCCCCTCAGCTACTGTAGCACCACCATTTCTGGCCTCTCTGCCATCTCTGGAGTCATGACAGGTGGCCACAGATTCAGGGCAGCAGCTGGGCAAACTAGGGTAGCCCAGCTGAGGGTAATGGTAATGATTATAAGGCTCCATCATGGACTTTTGCCCAGGGTTCTAGAATTACTAAGGCCACCCCTGAGCCAACTCACAGCTGATCAGGGGATCGGATCTACCACTCCCCTCTGCAAAACAGCTACACAGTGAAGTTGCAAAAGGGAGAGGAGAAAGAACTGGTTTCTCTTCTCTCACCTCCAAGCTGGGCAGAAACAGCAGCAATGCTTCTGAGCTTTCCATTGCAAAAGAGAGAGGAGAAAGAGCTTGCTTTTCTCCTTTTCCCTGCAGCCCATGCTTACAGCTTGGGGTGGGAAAAAGAGAAGGCAGCTGGGCTTCTGTTCACCCCCCTCAAAATTTGCTGCATCTCAGCATGTCTTGGAAGCAACAAAGTTTCCAGGATGGGAGATCAGAAGAACCCGACTTCCAGCTGATCATCTGGGAATTGACTCCTGATTCCCTCCCCCCCAACACACAAATAACTTTGCTAGATTCAGAGCAAAATTTTCCTAGCAGGAGATTAGAAGTTGACTCCCAGCTGGTCCCCCAACCGTGGTCAGTCAGTGGCTCTTTCTGCACCCATGTGTTTCCCCACTGTTTTTCTGCAACCATGTCAAAAATGTTAATCTCCCTCTGCATTGCACCCCACTGTCACTTTTTTTGTGCATCGGGACATTTTGGAGCTTCTGCATAGTTTTATGGTTTTGGAGTGGACCTTTTCCCTTTTCCCTTTCCAATTTGGAGGGAATAATCAGGAGACTATTTGATGCACCTTTGGTCATCTTCCCCTGTCCCTATTTCCACTTCTATTTAACTTTCACCTAGCACACAACTTGGAGGGCAGGTAGAGGGGCAGCCTGGGGAGGTCCTCTGGGAGTTTGACACTTCTAGCTTTGGGGGGGGGGGATTTGACACACTCCTTCCCATCTTTGCATATTGGACCCTAGGGAGGGAGCTTTTTCCCCTTCCCCAAAGCCAATCTGCACACAACTTGGAGGACAGGGAGAGGGGCAGCCTGGGGAGTTCCTTTGGGAGTTTGACACTTCTAGCTTTGGGGGGGGGGGATTTGACACACTCCTTCCCATCTTTGCATATTGGACCCTAGGGAGGGAGCTTTTTCCCCTTCCCCAAAGCCAATCTGCACACAACTTGGAGGTCAGGTAAAAGGGGCAGCATGGGGAGATCCTCTGGGAGTTTGAGGCTTCTAGCTTGTGGGGCGGGGGTTGAGACACTCCTCCCTCCTTTGTACATTGGACTCTAGGGAAGGATCTTTTCCCTTCCCCAAAGCCGATCTGCATACAACTTGGAGAGGGATGTAATAAAAGGAATGACAGGATTGCCCATTGGAAACAATGGGAGAGGCTTGAAGGCCCATTTGTTTGTTTGTTTTTAAATGAAAACCCTTAGGACGCCACCCCTCCCAACAGACCAGCTAGCCAACCAGCCGCCAAGCTGGCATCCCTCTATGGGTTGTGCATGCCTGGAGTAGCCCAGCAGCAGCTAGCTAAAGGGGGTGAGAAAGTGGGGAGGAGAAGAGAGGAGAAGAAAGAAGAAAAAAAGGGCAGTGTGCCCCAGTGTTCCCTCTAAGGTGAGTTAGTGTGAGCCAGCTCACAGTTTTTTAGCCTACGGCTCACACATTTTTGTCTCAGCTCAGGAACGGCGGCTCCAGAGCAAACTGACTGATGCAGTAGTCAAATCACTTGCTCACAACTTTAATGCCAGCAGCTCACAAAGTAGGATTTTTGCTCACAAGACTCCATGGCTTAGAGGGAACATTAGTGTGCCCCAGCCCTTGCTCACGCACTTGGCCAAGCCAGTGGTAATTGGATGTCCCCTCCACAGGACACAAGTGATGTTAATCACAATTAAGCAAAGAATCTGGGTTTTGGTTGTAGATGCAGAATGCATATACAAAAATAAATTGGAGAAAAAAGAATAGTGCGGAGGGCAGGGGCACAAAATACAAAGTTAACTTTGAAGGGTCGACTGCTCGGAATCTCCAGAGTAAGCGTGAGCTGTTAGTGCAGAAAGGGCCAGCTTCTGATGGCTGCATGTAGCCTGTTCCTGCAAATACACACAAACAGGTTGTGAATAGCTGAACAGCCTGTTGATTAATTGGCTGCCTGATCACCACTGGCAAGTGGGAAGTGAATTGTTCAAGCATCCCTCCTCCAGACTGGGTGAATAGAAAACAGAATGGCAGATGAAATTCTGTGTAAGTGCAAATGATGTATATCATGGGGGAGGGGGGAATGGTGTAGTGGTTAAGTGTGCAGACTCTAATCTGGGAGAACTGGGTTTGATTCCCCACTCCTCCACTTGCAGCTGCTGGATGACCTTGGGCAGTTCTGTTGAAGCTGTTCTTGGAAGAGCAGTTCTCGAAAGAGCTCTCTCAGCGCCACCTACCTCACTGGGTGTTTGTTGTGGGGAGGGGAAGGGAAAGGAGTTTGTAAGCTGCTCTGAGACACCTTTGGGTAGTGAAGGGTCGGGTATAAATCCAATCTCTCCTCCTCCTCCTCTTATCCTTCTCCTCCTCCTCCTCTGATAGGGTCTGAACTGGCATGACATACCAAAGATACCTTGGGATTGTGGTGGATAGCTTGATGAACAAGTCAACTCAGTATAATGCAGCAATTTAAAAAAGGCAAATCCCATGGAAATCATCAGGAAAAGAACTGAGACTAAAGCTTGTGCATAGCTGCTTCTCACAAGGGATGGTGGAGCTTTGAATTGCTTTGCTGCATTAATATCCATTTCCCACTTCTTGCTGCACTGCACGGCTTGTGTTCCTAACCACAGGGCAATTTGTGCTTTCTTTCCAGTAGAGCTTTCATTCCTACTGACATGGTGCTAGTCTGTGCTTCTCAGTCAATGCAGGTGATTTAGCCATAGCCAAGCCAAGAGGACTTCTTTTACAAGGCTCTTTATGTACTGGTTCCTTCCAACAGCACCTCACCCCATCTTGGTGCTCTTTAGATAAGATGCACACAAGACCCATACAATTCCAATCCAAAGCCTTTTATTGGCATATCGAGACCCATACAAAATAAACCTTTACAGGCCAGGGGACAAAACTTCCATGATGGGAATGTAGATTATGTGAAGTTTAAAAGAAAGCCAGAGTTTGGTGTGAGATATTGTAGATGAGGAACACAGATCTGTCCAAGCTGATGTACACTGCATATTGTCCAAGCTCAGCCTATATTGATGCCACATGGTCTTCAGTTCTTGGTATACCACCTCTTGGAGCATAGGATGCTGCCTCTGTCCAATTTATCTCATGTCAGTGTATGCAGGGAGAAGGATCTACCCTCCCACATGCCAGTGTCATATGAGAGGTTATTTGTAGCCCCATCTTCCTTATCTATCCTGGGAAGTCAATATGAAAACACCCTACCCTACAAAGCAAACAAGGCTGGGAGGAGTGTTTTCCAAAGACACAAAAGCAAAACAAATAGACTCCTATTTAGAATGCCTTTGATATTTTTTGTTTTATGTCCCTCCCCCTTTCCCTCATTGCTAATGTGGATGTGTTCAGAAGCAAAGCAGTTGAGCAAAGAACTTAGCAACCTTTAGTCTTTATCAGTAGCAGGTTAAATCAGACATGCAGGTATACTTAGGGTCAAGCTAGACATTATGGCATTCATGGGTCTGACCCATGGATGCTACCACCATTTTAAAGTGTTTTAAAAATGACACAGGGGCCCAATCCTGGTTGGGACTACAGAGTGGGTGGGCTGAGGTACTCATTTCCCCATCCTCTGTGTGCCTTTTCATGTGCCAAAACAGCAGTGGTGGGGGCATGGGAGGATGGCCATTTCAGTATTTGAAATGTTGTGTGTGTGGGGTGGAGAACAAGAACATTGCAGCTTGTTGTGCTGTGAACTCTATCAGGATTAGGCCTTCGTGATATTTTTAAATTGCTGTACAATGGTGGTGGTGTCCCCACTGTAGACACGAGAAAGCTATCACATCTACTTTGACCTTAATTCTGGCGTGCCTGCACAACAACACGTGTCCATGCAGATACATAGTAACCCAATTGTACCAACTTAGCCAACACAATATCAAGTTCTAGGAGTCCATCACATTTCTCAAGTCTTCAGATGTATACCCCATTTCCCCATTAGCTACCATAGCCCAATGGGGAGAAATGTCACAGTTCTTGCTTTCGTTGTCTAGAACTACAGCTGGTGATGGTGTGTGCGTATGTGCAGGGTAAAACTACAGACAAGTACCTACACCTGCCTTTTTATTGTTCTTTCAAAGAATCCTGGGAATTGTAGATTTATGAGTTCCCTGGGAAGTCTATAAAACACCCCTGACCATCTCCAACAGCTGCAGTTTCCCACTGCAAAACAGAGGACCAACTTAATGAAGGGATGTTTAGTGGCGGCAGTGGTGATAATGAAGACATGCAAAATCCACAAGCAAAGCTAGGGGCAGTTTTTGTGCACTTTTCAGTCTCCCAGTAAAGCCTTTACTGTTTCTTTGGTTTGTTTCCCTGTGCCTTTGCAGCTGGGATCTGCATGCCATGTGTGTTGGTGACCCATTCGTTTTTTGCAAGATACATGTGCAATAGCTCTCTTGGAGGTGTCTGAACAGTTTCAAAATAGGGACATCTTCATTGTGGGGATGGTTTTGCAGGCTACAGAGTTACTGAGATAGGTGACATCTACCACACTGCACAGAGTTGTGATGTTTATCTCTATAGCCTTGATACAGCTCCCCTTTCCCTCAACCTGGAGGCAGGAAAACACAATATGACCTTTGCTAAAAGAAGAAGTCCTTTCATACTGAAGTGTAGCATCGTTTTGATCCTTCTCACCAGTTTCCCCAGATGCAAGCCAGACAAGAGATCCAGCTGTTCCGCCCAGTACATGCCAGGCTTGCCCTTTTCCTGCCTGGCTTTCCTAAAGCCAAGCCAAGGCAGACAGGGACAGAAGGCTGTCATGCCATCTAGAGGGAGATTCCTCTCTTGTCCCTGAACTGTAGTCCTAGACATGTGTACTCAGAAGTCAGTAAGTGACATCTCACACTACTTTCTCCCAGATCAGTGTGCCTGCACTCTTCGCTTCAGTTGCTCTTCCTATCTTTTTTTTCCTTGAAGGAAGACAGGAGAGAAGGTAGAGACCAGAATGTGCCAGTGAGAGAATATTTCCCCACCTAGCTGGTTCACCCAAGCTACTGTCCCCCCTCCATTCAAGAGGGCTCTTCCAAATCCTGTCTGACTCCTGAGATTTCCAAAACATTTATACCCTTTATCTTAAAAGTTGCCTTTGGAGCACATAGGATTGTTTGCTTTTAAGGGCCATTTCTCTGCACAGTGGTAATGTACTGCTCAAGCATCTTGCTGGGAAGACTAGCTTTCTTCTTGCCAGCTGTGCTCCAGTGGTTGAGGAGGTGCATCTTGCAGTATGCCCTGAGCACACCTAACCAGAGGCCAAAACCACCAGGACACTAGAAACGTAATGTATTACAAGACTAGATGACCCTGGAGGTCCTTTCCAGCTCTATGATTCTATGACTGGGGTCATACATTCTATGACTGCCTGCAAAGTAAGGGCTGTGCAAATCATGGAACAAAGCACTGACTACAAACAAGCTCCGCCAGTGGGCTCCATGAACTGATGATGAGCAGGTGGGAAGGGTCCTATTAAACTGGGGTAGAACTTCAATCTTTCCCCTCCATAACACACTTAGTACAAACCAAGAGTCCTCCCATTACACCAGACACTCAGGGAAGCTGATAGCAGCCCACGTCCCTCTGGTGCTGCTCTGAGCTATCCAGAAGTCCCGAGCATGCCCTGCCCCTCTCCAAAGCCCTCTACTTGTGTGCAAGGTTCTGTGAATCTCTCACTATCCCCTAGGCTAAATGGGCATTTGCTTGACTGGCCATGTCCCAAGGTGGGTTTTTGTAGAGAGGGGACTCCCTTTGGGAGCTGGGAAGCAACATCCGCAGACATTTAGCTGTCCTACATAATTTATCTACGTGCATCCATGGCCGAACTAAGAAGAATCAAGGGACTGTGACAAATTCCTTATTATTGCCATTTGTTTCCTTGATTTCTGCAAGAGGCAAAAGAACAATGACTGGAATGTACAACATGCTTCATTTGGTGGGTGCATGGTCTTGCCATGTGTAGCACAGGAAGGAAATGACAGTCGAGAGCCAATGGCCTGCAGTTGGATGAACAGGCATGAGAGCGACCTTTGGCCCTGCCTGGACAAGGCCTGAGTGACCTGGAAACTTCATCACAATTTCAGTTTTCTAAAAAGAAGTGTCCAAGCTATGGCTTGGGAAAACCCTTCGCAGACGGGGTGAGGGCAGTTCCATCCCTCTGCTTCCTGCTCTGGAGCCAAGGATACAATGTCTCGTTCAGTTCTGCTTTGAGATAATGATATTAGAGCCATAGACTAGGCAGTTCTGACATTAAATGAGTATGTTAACTGCTGGTTTGTCAAGAAGGGAGTATGAGCACCGTTTTGGCAGCCCCGGATCCATGAAAGCCAGAGGCCAGTGCTGGCTCCCATAGACTGACACAGCACCCACTGATCCTAAAGAGAGGCAGTATGTATGACAAGGGTTGCCTGTTACAATACCCACAATGAGTTTTGTGCACTCCCTTTAGAGGTGCCTCAGGAAAAAAAGGCTTCCCCTGGGACACTTCCCACGTTCCCAGTTCAATCCTGATGGGCAGGGTACACATGGACACATGAAGCTGCCTTATACTGTTTCAGATAACTGATCCATCAAGGCCAGTACTGTCTCCTCAGACTAGCAGTGGCTCTACGAGTTATCAGACAGAAGTCTGTCGTGTCACCTATTTAACTGGAGGTGCCAGGGATTGAGCCTGGGCCTTCTGCATGCCAAGCAGATGTTCTGCCACTAAGCCACAGCCCTTCCCTATAGCTATAGCGTAAGCTTTGTTCAGAAGTTTTGCCCCTGGCTGGGACTTTTTGCCTGCACTGAAAACTGCAGTTATGCCAGTGAATACAGGCAAGAGTCAAAGGTGGCAGCCTCATTTCAAGGGGAGTTCTGCTGGGTGCGTCCCAGTCCACAGCCCCTCTGCACCCATGCATGGAGTGAATTTTGTGCCATCTTCAAATTTAATGTCGTGGCTCCATAAGAAAGAAATAGAAATCAATTATAGTCTATATTGGGGCAGAAGGCTAAAACTAAACACCTCTGATTCCTATAGAAGCCTGTAAAGTAAGGACTCTTGGACCAGTGCATTTGAGGGAATTTCAGGTTCCCCTCCTGCTACCCATTACAAAAAAGCACTAACCCCCTCCATTACAACAGCAAGTATCACTACTTACATGACCAAGGGCTGCATGCAGTTGGCTCACTGCTGTGCACAGACATGGAATGTGTCCTAAGTGGATGTCGCGATTTCCTAAGTAGCTTCGCTCCCAGCCTCAGATATCCTCTCTGATATCATCTGCACTGAGTAGCTCGTAAACCATGGAGCATATTCCAGCTCAGATGAGCTCACCCACCTAGCAGCCAATGGCTTGCCTTAACCCTTTACCTTCTGAAGTTCAGTACATGGGATGAGCTGCAATACAAGTTGCCTTAATGCAAGAGCTGTTGTTGCACAGTCAGGAGAACAGGAGTAGATATGTAAGGATTTTACAGTTCCAGCGCAGCTTATACAAAAGAACATCAATGTACAGTTTGGGGAGTGGTTCAAAGGAAACAGAACATTGAATCTGATAAAAAAAAATCCTCACCAATGATGTGATCACTAAGTTATCAAATACTCAGTGTCCATGCCTACAAAATGGAAACAACGTTTAGGTCCTGGGTCTAGGAGCTGGTGGTGTTTCTAAGGGAAAAGAACATGAGCATAGTCTGAATTTAGAAATCACCTTAAACATTTCTAAACTAGAACCAAACAGTTTCACACTTCATTAATGAAAAGCTCTATTTCACATTTAGAACCATCCCATAAAGGCTGAAATATGCTTGCCATGGTTTGATTGTCTTTATAACTGTCTGGTTGTTAATAAAAATGTGCCCAGCAAATTCAGAAAACATATAGAACATGCGAGCACACTGATCCCAGCCCAGGTATAGGGTTCATCGGCCCTGGAGAAAGAAAAGGAAAGCAATAAAATATATATATCAATGTGCTTCCATAACAACATCTCATTCATTTCACTAATTTCTAAATGATGAAATATTTCAATAAAAAGTTGGCAGATATTTTTGAATAATAAAAACTCATGTGTTAAAAACTCATGTGTCCATGTATCAATATACGAAGAAACTTATATTTCCCAATAGTGTCTTCTAGCTATTAGTGATGTGTGACACATCCAGGCTCCCTCTTATTTTCCCAAAGTTGCAATTGATTGGGAAATAGCCCAATATTATGTAGAGACATAAGAAGATGACTGCACTCAATTGCCTTGAGCCTCAATGGCAGAGGTCATTTCGGGGGGGATCGCGGGGGATCGCAGTTCCCCTGGGTGAGGTACGGGGGGCGGGGCACATGATGAAGCCCCGCCCCTGCTTCCGGCCACCCCGCTTCCGGCCCTCATTCAGCCAGGAGGAGGCAGGAGAAGAGGGAGGGTAAGTTGCTTCCTCCCTGCCTCTCCCCAGCCCTGCCTGCCTGGGGCCAGGGAGGGCCTTTGCGGGGCTTCCTTGCACTCCCGCCAGCCTTGCAGGTCCACCGCCGGGCCCCTCATGGGGCTCGGCAGTGGAGCTGCAAGGCCGGCGGCGGCGGCCGGGACCATTGGGGGCGGGGTGTGTGGCCTTATGACACACTTCCGGTGATGTCAGGGGGTGTGGCATATGCTAATGAGTTATGCTAATGAGTTCCCCTAGCTCTTTTTCTACGAAACGACCCCTGCTCAATGGTTCTATTACTGGACAAGCCCTGCAACACATGTGATTCTGCCTCTGCAACACCTCATAACTCCCCCAGCACCAAACTCTGAGGACAATTTTATTCTTTTATCAATATCACTTAAAATCAAGGAGTTAGGAAATGATACCATATTTCCTAAGCAATGTATTCCATTGTTCAACTGCACTTATTACTGGTAGGAAGATTTTCCACTGATTTCGCATAAAGGTATTTACCTGAAATTTAAACTCATTGCCTTTCATAACTCTCAGAGGCATGCAAGGATCTGTATTTCACTTCTTATTTAATTTTAGAGACTGCTGTTGTTTACCTCATCACCTACTGAGACTCCACTGGAATACCTGCTTGGAGAGCATTTGAAAAAGATTAATACATTTTAGCTCCCTCCTTTTCAACATTGGTGGTATGTGGGCAGGGGTGCATAAGGGATGTAGTTAATTGGGAGAGAGATGGTTCGATTTAAGATCCCAAATTTAGCAGCGGGGGGAGGGAGCGGGGAGTGAATCAAAGGAGAGTGGGTTCAGAGGGATTGGGAAGAGTCTTTCCTGGATGGAAAGCAACAGCTTTGGAATGGGTGGCAGCTCAGTGGGCACTTAGTTCCTGGGGTTTTTACATCATATGATAAACCATTGACATCGAATCATAGAATCAGAGTTGGAAGGGACCTCCAGGGTCATCTAGTCCAACCCCCTGCACAATGCAGGAAATTCACAAATACTTCCTCCTCCACATCCGGAGTGACTGCTGTTCCACACTCAGAAGATGGCAAAAAACCTCCAGGATTGCTTCCTGACCCCAAAGTGGCAATCAGCATTTCATTGAGCATGTAAAAAAGGGCCACAAGAATTAAGCAGTGATGCAACCCTTCCTGCCCTCCCTCTCATGATCTGCCTAAGTTCACAGAATCTGCATTGCTGTGAGACGGCCATCTAGGCTCTGTTTGACAACCTCCAAAGAAGGAGAGCCCACCACTTCCCGAGGAAGCCTATTTCTCTGAGAAACCACTCTAACTGTCAGGAAGTTCTTCTTAATGTTTAGCTGAAAACTCTTCTGATTTAATTTCAACCCATCAGGAGTTCTCTAGGAAAGCTCATGCTGCCTCATTTCTTATATTTTAGATTGAATGATCCAATTCTTTCCCGGCTTGAAACTATATGTGTGAATACCATGCAATGCATGGAAAGTGGACCAACAGGAGATGGGAACCAGAAGCAAAAGAATTTTGCCAGTTAAAAGTAGGCAAGGATACAGCTGGAGACTAGCTTGGAGAGATGCTGCCACCACCTAGTGGTAAGAAATGAAACAAAATGACTAAGATTGTGCCCCCCCCATCACTTGTTTTTGGAACTGGATTTTGGAATGAGCATTTATGGAATATTCAAATCTCCCAATACTATTTCTGGATTCAGTCCCCCCCCCCTCATGATTCCAAATTTAAAGGAAGTTGAAGGAGAAGAAGAAATAACAGAGAAAGGGAGCAGAAGTAGGAGACAAGGGGTTTATGTGTTCATAGAATATTTTTTTGTTGTAATAGATTATGGGATGTAAGAAAGAAAGGAATGACTGACTATGGATAATGTAACAGTGTGCAGTAGTATAATTAAATGGGAGTTGAGAGTTAATGAACTGGTAAAGTTGAAATAGTATAAGGGGCAACTTCTCCCATCTAGGATAGAGTATATGTTTGGAATTCGGATGCAAAAGAGTTTAAAAAAGTAATTTGATTATAAGTAAACCTTACAGAACTAGAGGGAGAAGGGCAAAAAAAATTGCTTTTGTGGTGTTGTAGTAAGTAAGTGAACTTGGTATGTTGTACTATTACTTAAGAACTATTATTTCGTCATGTAATATAAGGATATTCTATAATTAGTTTTGATCAGATGTCCCACCCTGAACCAGCTTAACTGCACACTTGCCCCGTGGTTGATCATTCAGATTGTTACTGCATTTTTATTTTTTGGTCTTTCACCCATGTGCATAAGCGTGTATCCGAAGCTCCAGCTTCTTTTTGGCAGCTCCACAATCTCTGTGCCAAGTACTCTGGCCCCTCTCAACCTCCTTCCCTTCACCTCTCATCCGTGGAATGCATGGGGAGGGGGGTAAAGTGCAGATCTACATGACAGTAGTCCCATTGACATCAGTGCATTTACCCTTGTGTCAATCATGGGATGCTCTCAGACTCTGACACAGAAACAGGAGAGAGGGGGTTGAGGGGGATCTGTCACTTAAAAACAACTCCCCAGGGACTCCCAATCCAGAATGACTACTTGGCCATGGGGATTGACAATGCCAGGGGCAATTGTGCACTTATGCACACTTAGCTACATGATCAACAAAACAAAACAAAACAAAGGAGGCGGAAACAGAAGGGAAGGTTCAGACTTCTCAAACAGTTTGACTTTGCAATGGAGGGGGGCTTCCGGTTTGACGGCGTTGCGAACGGGCGGGTATCATCCCGCTTGGCTCCCCTTCGTTTTCTTCGGAGCTCCCTGTTTGAGCGGACGAGCTCTGCTTCGCCTCGTATGATGTTACCTGAAGTTTTGCACATAGGCATTTTTGGGTTTGATCTTCCTCCTTTTCGTCATGTTCAGACGGGTCTTTACATCCGACCCAGGGGGAATGATCAGACAGCGACATCTGGGAAAGCTGCCGCTTCTGTGATCAGCCCGTTTTACCCCACCAGGGAGCCGTACTTAAAAGACACCACTGAAAGTCCGGTGCTGTTGCAAGCATTCAGGACAATTTCATATTAATCAATGGCCCGTTAAATTAATGAATCTTGTTAACTGAAATTGGACCTTGAGGGAGGACAACATAGGTCTTTCCCCAAGCAAAGTAGTCCCTTCACTGACCCAAATCTCCAGGGCAGGGGGGATGGTTGGGACTCATTTCACCCAGCCCTGGTCATCTGCATCAGAACAGAAACTGAAAGAAGACATTGGGTATGCTTGGACTGTCTTGTTGGTCACTCCATAGGAAGAGACGGGGAGGTGCAGTGAAGCGCATATGTGCATGCAGAATGGAATTAAAAAAACAACAATGACCGCATGGCTCCTTCAGGGGGATGCCGTCTAGACAATCCACAGTGAAGTCAGCACATGGTAAGGCAATTCATGGGGGGAGCTGTCTGGTTGTGCAACACCCGATAAAAAAGTCTGGGATCAAATTTGAGCCAGGCCAATGGCGGGATTAGCTGCCCATCTGAATGTACCTCTTGTTTAGGGATTAGTGTGCTAGAATCCATCTTGGAGCTACCAGTAACTAAAAAGATGTAACTAGATATTGAGACTGGTTATTGTTTTTTCCTTGTCATGTAACCCTTCCTAATCTTATTAGTAAACTTTTATTTTAGGTAATTTACATCTCTGTGCTTTGTGGTTCCTCTTGTGGTTCCCTTTTATTCTGCTAATATATCCAACAATTCTCGAGAATATGAGGTATCACCCAGATACCTGAATACTCCTGAAAAATACCATATATATCCGCCTGGAAATAGCA